AACTGTACATATTGTGGTGAGGATGTAAAATGTGATGAATTATTTTGATAAATGGATAATGCTTCATGTTTTCTGGTGTTGAACTGTTCCCATCCAAGGCTGCAGATCTTATATTTACTAAATTTCTTGCAAATGCTAAAATAAGTAGCTCTTTGGTATTTTTGTTTTTGTAAAAGGAGCTTCACAGAGTAATCCCCTGATCTAAGGAGCACATGTATGTTCCACAGGCCACATGTAAGAACGACTCTGACGAACACTGTTTAAGAGAAAAAATAGTTGAAAGAAAAACGACAGTAAAGAGATTTGTGTTGTAATTAGAATATGACGTAGTAAAATGTTGTATTAGTCATGTTAAGTTTGAGATAAACGTCCATGAATGTGCTGTAGCTGGATATAAGAAGAGGTTCTACAGACTGAATATGTTTTATTTTATGACATCAGATCGAATATAATCAGTTAAACATTGACAGTGTTGGGGAGTAACAGATTACATGTACTTGAGTTACATAATCAGAGTACAAATTATGAGGAACTGTATTCGGTTGCAGTTATGGTTTCAGTGAGTGGTAATTGGATTACAGTTACTTTGATGAAATAAATGGATTACACGGTGGGATTTTCCTGTTTTGTTTTGTTTTGTTTTTTCGGTAATTCCACTCATTGCTGGAAACTAAAACAGGTCTAAACTAGATCTTAACCAGGTCTAAACCAGGTTCTAAACCAGAACTAACACCAAGACTAAAACCGGGACTAACCCAGTCCAGGACTAAACCAGGACTAAGCCAGGACTAAACCAGGACTAAAACCAGAAACTAAAACCAGAACTAAAACCAGAACTAAAACCAGAACTAAAACCAGGTCTAAACCAGGTTCTAAACCAGAACTAACACCAAGACTAAAACCGGACTAACCCAGTCCAGGACTAAACCAGGACTAAGCCAGGACTAAACAGGACTAAAACCAGAACTAAAAACCAGAACTAAAACCAGGTCTAAACCAGGTCTAAACCAGGACTAAACCAGGACTAAACCAGGACTAAACCAGGTCTAAACCAGGACTAAAACCAGAACTAAAACCAGAACTAAAGCCAGGTCTAAACCAGGACTAAACCAGGACTAAACCAGGACTAAACCAGGTCTAAACCAGGACTAAAACCAGAACTAAAACCAGAACTAAAGCCAGGTCTAAACCAGGTCTAAACCAGGTCTAAACCAGAACTAATACCAGGACTAACCTATTCCAGGACTAAACTAGGACTAAAGTAGGACTAAAGCAGGTCTAAACCAGGACTAAAACCAGAACTAAAACCAGAACTAAAGCCAGGTCTAAACCAGGTCTAAACCAGAACTAATACCAGGACTAACCTATTCCAGGACTAAACTAGGACTAAAGTAGGAGTAAAGCAGGTCTAAACCAGGACTAAAACAAGGACTAAAACAAGGACTAAAACCAGTGATCTCATATATAAAGCATTTCTCTATCAATAATATTTTTAATATGGTTAAGGAAAGACTGGACTTTTTATTGTCTTTGAAGTAAACAAAAGTTCAGATTTCCTCGTCTTTGCTACTTTACAACAAACAGTTTCTTATTCATGGAGACTTGGGCTCAACAGACAATTTGAAGAAAACAAACAAGAACAACATTTGCAGGATGTGGTTGGTACATTCATGTAGTTTTAAAAAGCATGACAATATCAAGTAATCCAAAGTACTCAGATTACATTACTCACTTTAAGTAATCAAATGGATTAAGTTACAAACTACATTTTGAGATATGTAATCTGTAATCTGTAGGGGAATACATTTTAAAAGTAACCTTCCCAACACTGCAGATTAGTAACAGTAATAATACTGATGATACTGTGGAATGTAAGTGACTGCATCTGTTAAAGTTTGTTAAACAATAAATGACTTTATAAAGTCACTTTTTTTTGTTCTATGTCAGTCTTTTGATCTGCCACAATAATGTAATAATGAATTTAAACGAAAATACCTCAAATTGAAGGCTTTTCTCAGCAATTTTTAGGTGAGATTAAAAAGAGATTAATTAGATGAATTAATTACAGATCGTAATTAATTAATCTGTCAATTTTTTTAATCGCATGACAGCACTAATTACATCATTAATCTGTTAATCAAGTAACCAGTAATCAGTTGGTTTCATGGCTTAAAGATCACAACAGTCCATTTTGTGTGATACAGGAACTTAAATAAAACACAAAGACAATAGATCATGGAGCCCATAAGGGAACAGGGCAACAACCCACGGAGAAATCCAGTTACGCCCCTCAAGTACCAACTGGGAACCACTATATCATGTTGTCTGAGATATACTGTCCACTTGAAACTTCCTCTGACCTGGAAATAAGTCGTGAGTGGACGAATAACCCATGAATGAATGAATCTCTTTCCTCGCCTCCTTCTCCCTGATTCCTCTCCTCGATTCTGCAGGACATGGGTGAGGAGGTCCCGCCCACCGAGGAGACGAAGCGAGGAGGAGAAAGGATCTAAACTCCTCAATGAGAGCGATAAAGATTGATTCTTTTATCTCACGAAGCCTCCCTTGTGTTTACCTCCTCCTTCCGTGGTTTTCTTTGGCACACACGCTTAATATGACAAGTTTGATTGACAGCTGAAAAATGAAAGATCGAGGTGAGGAATCAAGGAGAAGGACGCGAGGAAAGAGAAATGAGACGTGGCCAAACAGAGAGAGTCTATAATGTTATAAGTTCGTTTCTTCTTCTTCAAAAGAACAGACCTGGAGTTGTGTTTTGTTTCATTCGCACACGTTTAACGCACAAACCCTGCACATTTAGACTGAGTTCTTTTCTCAAAACCGAAAACACTCCACCGCTTCGTGACTTAAAGCTCCCAAGAGTCAACAGAACCTTTAAGTGCTATAAGATCTGAGAGAAGACCTCAGCCTAAACGTGCAGGATTTCTGTGTCAGACACGTGTGAATGAAACAAAACACAACTCCAGGTCAGTTTGTGATGAAGAAACAACATTACAACATCTGAAAATAGCGCAATATGGGCCCTTAAATCTGTATCCTAAGTTTGATTCTATAATAAAGTAAAATGTCTCTTTGTTCACATGCAAATTCTGTGATTCTGAAAACACTGAACCACAAAAACATGTTCAGATCTGCATTTATAATCAGTGTTGGGGAGTAACAGATTACATGTACTGGAGTTACGTAATCAGAGTACAAATGATGAGGAACTGTATTCGGTTACAGTTACTGTTTCAGTGAGTGGTAATTGGATTACAGTTACTTTGTTAAAATAAATGGATTACATGGTGGTATTTTCCTGTTTTCACATTTTGGGCTCTATCCCTTTTTTTTTTTCTTGGTAAGTCCACTCATTGTCGGACACTAAACCAGGCCTAAACTAGGTCTAAAACAGGATTTAACAGGACTAAACCAGGTCTAAACCAGGTCTAAAACCAGGTCTAAAATCAGGTCTAAACCAGGTCTAAACCAGGTCTAAAACCAGGTCTAAAATCAGGTCTAAACTAAGTCTAAAACAGGATTTAACAGGACTAAACCAGGTCTAAAACCAGGTTTAAACCAGGTCTAAACCAGGTCTAAACCAGGTCTAAAACCAGGTTTAAACCAGGTCTAAACCAGGTCTAAAACTAGGTCTAAACCAGGTCTAAACCAGGTCTAAAACCAGGTCTAAAATCAGGTCTAAACCAGGTCTAAACCAGGTCTAAAACCAGGTCTAAAATCAGGTCTAAACTAAGTCTAAAACAGGATTTAACAGGACTAAACCAGGTCTAAACCAGGTCTAAAACCAGGTTTAAACCAGGTCTAAACCAGGTCTAAAACCAAGTCTAAAATCAGGTCTAAACTAAGTCTAAAACAGGATTTAACAGGACTAAACCAGGTCTAAACCAGGTCTAAAACCAGGTTTAAACCAGGTTTAAACCAGGTCTAAACCAGGTCTAAACCAGGTCTAAAACCAAGTCTAAAATCAGGTCTAAACTAAGTCTAAAACAGGATTTAACAGGACTAAACCAGGTCTAAACCAGGTCTAAAACCAGGTCTAAACCAGTTCTAAACCAGGTCTAAACCAGGTCTAAACCAGGATTTAACAGAACTAAACCAGGTTTAAAACTAGGTTTAAACCAGTTCTAAACCAGGTCTAAAACCAGGTCTAAACCAGGATTTAACAGAACTAAACCAGGTCTAAAACTCGGTTTAAACCAGGTCTAAACCAGGTCTAAACCAGGTCTAAAACAGGATTTAACAGGACCATGCTGCTCAAACCGTGTCTCCTCTTCTTCTATCAATAATATTTTTTATTTGGTTAAGTAAAGACTCGACCTTTTCATTTTCTTTTATCAGACAAAACATCTTATTTGAAGATTTCCTCGTCTTTGCTTCTCTACAGCAAATCAAGTAATCCAAAGTATTCAGATTACGTTACTCACTTTAAGTAATTTAATGGATTACGTTACAAACTACATTTTGGTGTATGTAATCTGTAATCTGTAGGGGAATACATTTTAAAAGTCACCTTCCCAACACTGTTTATAATCCAGCAGCAGCGACGCAAAACAGGCGTGGTTCTGCTCTGTCACTTACTCTACTTTCTGTTCACATTTGGATTTACATGTTCTGAATAAATATTGATTAATATCTCCTATTAAAATCTGGATTTTATGTTTGGATTATTGTCTGATATGATGTTTTTTTTGTGCAAACCCAATTTAAAATGGAGATACAGTTTAAAATATTGTTAATCTCACAATGAAATTCAACAGCAGCGGGTGAGGCAGAGCTTGTAATAAAGAAATGTTTGTATATAAAAAGCAGAGAGTGTGAGTTGTGTTGTTGTGCATTTAAATAGTTTAGAATGACGCAGGGTTGCCAAATAACCTGCTATTGTGTTGTGTAACTGCAGAGCCAAAAAATATATATAAACACCCTGATGCAATGCGGGTTCACGTTTACGCGCAGTCAGGGAGTAAAAAGTTCTAAGTCCTCACCTTCTGCTCCCCCAAATTCTGCAGTGCCTCTTTATCACGTCGGCTCCGGCTCGCGGCGCTCCGGCTCTCGACGCTCCGGGTCTCGATGCTCCGCTCCAGGGCTCGCTCCATGCTCCTCTCTCCCGCGCGCTTCTCCGCACGCCTCTCCGCTCGCCTCTCCAAACCCGGGGAGCTCCAGGCGTCGCTGACCGGACTCCTCGCCCTCTGCCCGGTGTCCCTGCGCGCTGACCTCGGGGTGCTCTGGCCGACACTCAGCGCGTCGAAGTCGATGCTCTTCCCGTCGAACGCATCCCGGACGCTGCAGAACAAGCCGCCGTACTTCTGCCGGGGGATCTGGTCCGCGGTGCCCGGTCTCGCGAGGTACACGGGCAGGTCGTTCTCGTCGGCGATGTCCCGGTTCGCCCTGCGCTCTGCCATCGCGCGCGCTGCTTCCAGAGCCACTGGAGACGGACAAGTGCGGAGCTGGAGACTGCGCGAGCGTGACAGCGAGTGCGCACGGGCCAGCGCTGAGGTGGCACCGCACTGTCTCCTGTACAGACAGTGTTGGGAAGGTTACTTTTAAAATGTATTCCCCTACAGATTACACATTACATACCCCAAAATGTAGTTTGTAACGTAATCCATTAAATTACTTCAAGTGAGTAACGTAATCTGAATACTTTGGATTACTTGGTTTGCTGTAGAAAAGCAAAGACTTGGATATCGTAACATAAGATGTTTTGTCTGATAAAAGACAATAAAAAGCCCAGACTTTACTGAACCAAATAAAAAATATTATTGATCGAAGACGAGGAGACACGGTCCGTGCAGCATCGTTTAGTCCAAGTCCTGTTAAATCCTGTTTTAGACCTGGTTTAGACCTAATTTTAGTCCTTGTTTAGTCCTGGTTTGGACCTAATTTTAGTCCTTGTTTAGTCCTGGTTTAGACTTAATTTTAGTCCTTGTTTAGTCCTGGTTTAGACTTAATTTTAGTCCTTGTTTAGTCCTGGTTTAGACTTAATTTTAGTCCTTGTTTAGTCCTGGTTTAGACCTAATTTTAGTCCTTGTTTAGTCCTGGTTTAAGTAAGTAAGTAGGTCTTTTATTTATATAGCGCTTTCACAGACATTTTCTGTCCCCAAAGACACTTTACAGATCATTATTCAGCATTATTCATTCACTCTAAACCCTGGTGATGGTGAACTACTATTGTAGCCACAGCTGCCCTGGGGCAGACTGACAGAAGAGCGGCTGCCATGCCACTCGGCGCCATCGGTCCCTCCGACCACCACCATCACTCACACACACACACCACTTTCATACTAGGCAATGTGGGCGAAGTGTCTTGCCTAAGGACACAATGATTGAACTGATATGTATTTAACTGACCTTGACTATCAACTGTTCATGGATGTTATGGTTTAGACCTGGTTTAGTCCTGGTTTAGTCCCGGTTTAGTCCTAGTTTAGACCTCATTTTAGTCCTTGTTTAGTCCCGGTTTAGTCCTGGTTTAGTCCTGGTTTAGATCTGGTTTAGACCTGATTTTAGTCCTTGTTTAGTCCTGGTTTAGATCTGGCTTAGTCCTGGTTTAGACCTGGTTTTAGTCCTGGTTTAGATCAAGTTTAGACCTGGTTTTAGTCCTGGTTTAGATCTAGTTTAGACCTGGTTTTAGTCCTGGTTTAGATCTAGTTTAGTCCTGGTTTAGATCTAGTTCAGACATGGTTTTAGTCCTGGTTTAGATCTAGTTTAGACCTGGTTTTAGTCCTGGTTTAGATCTAGTTCAGACATGGTTTTAGTCCTGCTTTAGATCAAGTTTAGACCTGGTTTTAGTCCTGGTTTAGATCTAGTTCAGACATGGTTTTAGTCCTGGTTTAGATCTAGTTTAGACCTGGTTTTAGTCCTGGTTTAGATCTAGTTTAGACATGGTTTTAGTCCTGGTTTAGATCTAGTTTAGACATGGTTTTAGTCCTGGTTTAGATCTAGTTTAGACATGGTTTTAGTCCTGGTTTAGATCTAGTTTAGACATGGTTTTAGTCCTGGTTTAGATCAAGTTTAGACCTGGTTTTAGTCCTGGTTTAGATCAAGTTTAGACCTGGTTTTAGTCCTGGTTTAGATCAAGTTTAGACCTGGTTTTAGTCCTGGTTTAGATCTAGTTTAGACATGGTTTTAGACCTGGTTTTAGTCCTGGTTTAGATCTAGTTCAGACATGGTTTTAGTCCTGGTTTAGATCTAGTTTAGACATGGTTTTAGTCCTGGTTTAGTCCTGGTTTAAGATTTAGTGTGATTTAGTGTCCAGCAATGAGTGGAATTACTGAGGAACAAAAAAAAAGGGATTTAGCCCAAAATGTGAAAACAGGAAAATACCGTTGTGTATTCCTTTTATTTCAACAAAGTAACTGTAATCTAATTACCGCTCATTCAAACAGTAACTGTAACTGAATACAGTTACTCATAATTTGTACTCTGATTACGTAACTCTGGTACATGTAATCTGTTACTCCCCAACACTGTGTACAGATCACTCACCAAACAATCAGCAGGAGCCTGTCATTTCTGTGTGGAAAAAAACTAAGCTCGTTGTATGACATTGTTGACTATATCATCTATAGTTCTGTTAGTGACATTCTTACGTGACGTTACGTTTTCTTAAGTCACTCGGCTGCATACTTTGGCCTAATAGCTCTAGAGTAAATTCTTAAAGTTTTCTTCCAGATTGTTTGTGAGCCAATTAAAGTGAGAGGAGCTGTCCTTTCAGCACCACATCTGCACACAGGTACAGAGGGGAAAAGGAAACTTCTGTAGAACCTTGTAGAAGACTTGTTCAGTGGTTAAAGCCAAACCGAAGGACAGAAGATTGACTCCCACTTTGATCAAGTTCTGCTGTGTCTTTAGGCAACACATTTCACCCACATTGTCTAGTATAAGGGGCTCGTGGCACAGATTGGTAGCCTCGCCACTATCGTTCTGTCCCAGAGCAGTTGTGGCTTCAATACCAGTTTACCACTACTACAGTGTGGAGTGAATGAATAATGACTTCAGTGGAGCACTTTGGGCGACAGAAGCTCAGTTGGTGTGGAGTGTTTGTCTCGACATCAACATCACTGTGTGTTTCCAGCTCGCACAGATGAATACTACTGTTGTGTCCTTTGACAAGACACTTAGGGCCAATCTCATTTCTAATTTCTACCCCTTCCCCTTGAAACTGAGCAACAAGGGGTAGGGGTTGAAAGTAAACCCCTATGAATTGAGACTTCAACAATCACATACGTCATCAGTAGTCTCCATCAGCTTTTACATAAGCAGACGTGACGAGCTTTTGCCGGAAATCCAACATGCTGTGCCATACAGTTAGTGAACTTCTTTGGTCTCTGTGGTCGTGGTAGCAGCCATCTTGCCGGTGATTTGCAAGGCATTCTAGGAAATTGCTCATAGCCCTCCATTTGGAGTGTGCCTCTGAAAAATCTTCGTTTGGAGGTAACACTTTCCCCTACCCCTCTGCCATAACGGTAACTGGGAAAGTCAAGGCCAAGGGTTGTGATGGGATCCAGTTTTAACCCACCTCACCCCAGTGTCTGGTGTATGAATGTGTGTGTGAATGTGTGTGTGAAAGGGTGAGTGGTTCCTTGATCTAAAATGTGACCTTTTACTGTTCATCAAAATGTGACAAGACTGAAAGCTCATTACAAAAAAAAAAGGCATTAGATTTTTTCATATGACAATGCTTAAAGTTGATACAATCTATGTCAAACAAGTGCATATACAAGTACAAGTACAAGTACATATACAAGTGCATATACATACAGTATGTTACTTCACTCAGGAACAAAGGAACAGGTCAGGACACATGTCAGAAAACATGAGCGATAAAATGATCATCAACATTTTGTTTGCTGAGACGTGTTTTGCTGTTTTACTGTTTCAACTTTTGCCGTTTCCACAGACGGGAGCACCTCAGGGTGTCACTGATGTCTGCACAAATCAGACACACGCACACAGAGTCAGCATCAGGAGAGAGACACAGGAGAGGGAGAGACAGAGACAGTGAGCTGCTGAGTCAATGGGACGACACAACATCACATCTGCAGTTTGAATGTGAAAGTCAAATCTCTTTTGTTTGAGCCAACTTCACTTTTCCATCAGGCCTCAGCAAATATGATGATTCATGTTCAAATCTAGATTTCAAAAGTGAATATCAACTGATCAAATTTGGGTTTCTTTCCAAAATGTTCCCTAAAATACTCTCCCCATTTCTGTTTTCAATAAATGGAAGAAATAAACTGGTTGGGGGGAAAAAAAAGAAAAAAAAAGTGAGTAGCATGCTCTGTTTTGTGGAAAGTGGTTATACCTAGGCAAAAAAAACAAAAACAAAATCTAAGGTTAAATAGTGTAGTAGTGTTTGGGTTTGCCGTCCACCCACTTCTCCCAATATGAGATATTAAAAAATAACAAATATAAAATAGATACAACTTAAATGTCAAACCAGAACAACTGGCAATGGTGAAAACAACCCTGCAGAGGCTCATGATATCTGCACTACTGTCCTATAGTGACCTGAGACATGAGGGACCAGCACTGAACCAGGACTAAACCAGGATTGAACCAGGATTGAGTGTCAGGACAGGCTTGGAGTGGCGCCCACATAAACCGTTGGGTGACTGCAGGAAAAAAGACGGGCACAGAGCTCTCTCTGTGTCGCCTGATCACACTTTGGGGACACCCTGGACGGACTCGGGGTTCTCCCTCTCGCTCTCAAGTCCAAGATTAGTCCTGGTTCAGTCCTGGTTCAGTCCTGGTTCAGTCCTGGTTCAGTCCTGGTTCAGTCCTGGTTCATGTGTTGTCTACAATTATGTTCTGTAGGTGATTATGAGTGGTGTTAATGTAATAACATGATTCCACATCATTTTAACTCCCCAAAAAACATCAAATATTACTGAGTTTTACTGGGCTGACACCTTTGTTTGTACTGAAAGTGATTATTAAACCAAAAAAATAAATAAAAGAAAAGAAAAGAAACTAACAATCTATATGACACCTGTGTGTAGTTGAGTGTCTGGCTTTTGGAGGTGAGGGGATGACGTCACAAATCGCGTAAATCCACTTAAATCCCCACTACACCACTTAGAGCAGAAAGCAAAGACAGATGAGATTCAGAGTTTCAAAACACAAATTAAGCTTATAAAACATGTTAATACGCTGGTAAAATGTAACATGGGGATCTAAATATGTTATATGTTAGCAGACATAGAAGTAAAATACACCCTCTTTAAGTAAGATTTTTTATTAAATAACATTACATTTTGATTCTAAAAAAAGAAAACGAAAAATAGACTTCTTTGCTCTCAGGTTTTATCGTGCATGACAGGTGTTATAGCTGCCTGCAGACTTGCTGACAATCTCCAAAGCTCTGAGCGAAATGACGAGGCACTTTATTCTGAAAAGC